AACGGCCCAAACGCATCGCTATACCCCTGGTCACAGCGTCGATTAACGTATACTTCAACCCATCCTCCACCATTCCCACGATACGGCGCCGCAGTGAACTCCGTCTCGTCGAAGGAGGGGGATGTATATTTGATGGGCGGTTTAATCAATGGTTCTACCGTTAAAGGTGACCTGTGGATGATTGAGGCAGGAGGCAACATGGCCTGTTATCCCTTGGCAACGACTGCAGAGGGTCCTGGACCAAGAGTTGGCCATTCAAGTCTGCTTGTTGGCAATGCTTTTATTGTGTATGGCGGTGACACCAAGATCGACGAATCCGATGTTCTCGACGAGACCCTTTATCTTTTAAACACTTGTGAGTTCCATTGCGCTCAAACATTCCAGTTCACTAACAAATTAGCAACGAGACAATGGTCGCGTGCTCTACCGGCCGGGCCTCGACCTTCGGGCCGCTATGGTCATTCCCTCAATATCCTAGGATCCAAGATCTACGTTTTTGGTGGCCAAGTTGAGGGGTTATTCATGAACGATCTTTCCGCATTTGATCTCAACCAGCTGCAAATGCCAAACAATCGTTGGGAAATTCTGGTTCATGGCGAGACGAGTCCCAAGATGCCCGCGGCCCGAACTAATCATTCAGTGATAACATTTAACGACAAGATGTATCTGTAAGTAGCAAGAACAGGGAGTTTTGAAATATCTACTGATATGGTTCTAGCTTTGGTGGTACAAATGGTTTCCAGTGGTTCAACGACGTTTGGTGCTACGATCCGGCAATTAACAAGTGGTCTCAATTTGACTGCATTGGCTATATCCCAGCCCCTCGAGAAGGCCATGCTGCCGCTCTTGTAGACGATGTTATGTACGTCTTTGGTGGAAGAACCGAAGAAGGGACGGACCTTGGCGATCTTGCAGCTTTCCGGATCTCATCGAGGCGATGGTACACCTTCCAAAACATGGGACCTTCCCCTTCCCCCCGCTCAGGCCACAGCATGACGACCGTCGGTAAATCGATTGTTGTTCTTGGAGGAGAGCCAAGCTCAGCAACTACTTCCGTCAGCGATCTGGGACTCCTCTATGTTTTAGACACCTCGAAGATACGATACCCGAACGATGCGCAGCAGACCTCTCAGCCACCGCGAGTGCACGGCTCACGTAGGCCTAGTGCTAGTGAGGGTAACCGCCCATATCCTGTACGAGACGGATCCAACGGACCGCCAGACTCGAGGAAGATGATCGTTGGAGCGCCGTCAGCTCCACCAAATGGGCATCGATCGCCACCCAATAACGTTGATGCCGAAGGATCCCAGCCACCTGCCGCGAACACCAAGCTTCCTAGAGCTTCGACGATGCCCCCATCAGGACCCCCTCCCCAGGGCCCGATGCCTGCTAGGCCTACAGTAGATGTTTCTGCAGTAGCACGAGTTCGGGGGCAGTCGGCAGAACGCAGCGGTACCTCTGGTTCGCCAAGGACAATGCACTCTGGCTCGCCAATCACACGAGAGGTAATTAACGAGACTGACAGTCCTCTATCAAACGGTCAACGAACACCTGTTCAGCAACCCCCACGTGTTGCTTCAAGGCAGGATCAAGTGAATGGGGATGCGCCGAAGGTCAAACAAGGCCCGCCAGGCCCCCAAGGTCGACCCCAAGCTTCAGGTGATGGTCCGCCGGATGCCTCGACCAAACCACCAGCCGCGCCTCGACCAGCTTCGCCACCAGTCCCTGTAAGGCAACCAAGCAATAACCTTAACAGGCGGTCGTCAGGGAGGAATTCACAGACAGTCGTTCTTCTTAAGGAGCTGGACTCTGCCCGCAATCGAAATGCATGGTATGCTTCCGAACTAGAGCTCGCACGAAAGGCTGGCTACGTACCCAACACTTCATACAGTCCTTTGCTTGATAACAAGGCCACTGAAACTTTTGATGATGAGGATCGACCACTTATAGAGGCTTTGTTAGCAATGCGATCTGAGCTTGCCAATGTTCAAACCGCAGTTGATAAGCAAGCCGTCGTCGCTGCGAAGCAAATTGCCGAGGCAGAGAAGCAGCGCGATGCGGCCATTCAGGAGGCAGTCTACTCCAAGGCCAAGCTTGCGGCACACCTGGGTGGAAGCTCGGTAAGTACACCGCAGCTCGATACACCCAAGGACGATCCCGAGCTTAGGTCGAGCGAATTGAGCCGAAAGCTTGCTTCTGCATTACATGTCCAAAAAGATCTCCAATCCCGACTTGATTCTACCAAGAGCGAACTTGACTCCGAGAGGAAGGCCCGCCAGCTAGCAGACGACACTTCGAATGCGGCCCAGAAACGCATGACGGAGCTCGAAAGCTACAAGCAGCAAACTTCGACAGAAGTGGAGCGCCTGAAAGCCGAACTTCATCTCGCCCAACATGATGCGCGGGAGCATTCGGCAGCTCGCGCTGAAGTCGCGGCCACTGTTGAGTTGCTACGTATCGAAAAGAACGACATGGAGCAGAAATATCATGACGCTGTTGGGAGTTCCAAAGATCACAGCGAAACATTTGATTCTCTTCGGGCTGCTATTGCAGCTTCCGAGGATTCTACAGCTCTCCTCGAGAACAAGCTTGCGGAAGAACGTAATCAGCGCGAGAAGATCGAGACGCAACTTAACAAGCTTAAGTTTGAGCATGAAGCCCGTACTGCTGAACTTGTAGCTACCACGCAACGTCTTCGCGATGCTGAAGAACTTTCAGAAAAGCATGCAGCTGAAGCTCGTACAACTCGCCAGGCGGTTCTCGCTGGCCTTGATAAGATCTCGGCTCGGGATGTTCCTGGCGCAAACAAGGCCGACAGTGAGCGTATCGCGGCTCTTCAGACCCAGCTTGCTACCTCAAACGAACTAGTGAAGAAATACCAGCAGGAGCTCGAGACTGCAGCCGACAAACTACGTGGTGCAGAAGAACGCATTGCGGGCCTTGAGCAATATCAAGAACAATCTAGTCGAGAAGGCGTCACGATACGAAGGCAACTGCAGTCTGCTTTACGAGATACTCAAAGCCTCCAGGCAGCGAATACCGATCTCAAGAACCAATTAGCTGCTCAGCAACTCGAGACTAACGCAATGGCAGTGCAGCATAATGCACTGAAGGACATTCTGAGCGAACGAGGCATAAGCCCTACGGCCTCGATTCGCGCTCGCGGTATCACAAACTCGCGGACAAACTCACCTGCCAACTCACCTGATCTGAACCGTGTCAGAGAACTCGAATCTCAGCTCGCCAGTTCTTCCGCTGCTCACGAAGAGACCAAACAGGCATTTGCGATTCAAGTACAGGAGTCCGAGGCAGCCTGGCGTGAGAAATTGTCCCAACTCGAGAGCGACTATCAATCGGCAGTGCATTATGTTAAAGGCACCGAGAAGATGCTTAAGCAGCTCAAAGATCAGTTATCTCGATACAAGACAGAGAACGCCCGCCTGAAGACGGAGATCGAAGAGTTGGAAGACCGCGCCCAAAGCGGAGACAATTCTACTTCACCTAACTGGGAGACTGAGAAAGCAGAACTCGAAGCACGAATTCGAAACCTCGAAACAGAACTCCAAGACTCTGCAGCCCAAATGGAAAAACGACTTGCTGGTCTTCGAACCGAACTCCAGGAAACCAATCAGCATCGTGAAGCAGCTACACAAAAGCTGAGCAGCCATCGAAAAGATCTGGAGCAGCTGCAGTCAGAGAATGCCCTCCTCGAGCAGCGTGCGAACGATGCTGAGCAGAAGGTGGCTCTTCTTTTGGACCAGGTAGAACATTCCGTTGATAACTATCGTCGGCGCAGTCGGCAAGTACCCAGTATGAACTCTGAGATGGCTGCCAATGCCAATGGTCTGGGACTAGGACATTCGAGACAGGAGAGCTCCGAAGGCGAAAGTGTTTATGGAAGCGCAAGCGGAAACGGGGGCCTGGAAGCTAGAAACAGTGCAGCCCTGGACAGCCTTGCTAACGAGCTCGAAACACTCCGGACCCAATGGGAGGCAACCAACAAGAACTATCGATTGAGTACCAATTTTGACTTCGAGGCATCCTCCGCCACTAAGAAGGAAAGCGATACCACTGCTGGCGTCGGCCTCAGCGAAAGCCTGGCGGACTGGCGCAAGAGACTTGACACGGAGGAAAACCACAGTGACGGGGACAAGCCCCGACAATCCTAATCACAAATAATTCCTGGATACCGATACGCTTTCATGACGCAAATATACCCACCGTCTTCATTTTGATTTATGGTCGATGGTCAATGTCTGTACATCCCGATCTTCGCAAAGGTGGAATGGAGTTCTAGTTGTCTGAAGTGGCAGCTCTGTCATTTTTGCGTGTAATCATCTTCTTTTCTTTACTCCTTTTTATTTTTCTTTCTTTCTAACTTGATGGGCTTTTTTGAAAACTAATGCTTTTCGCGGAAGGGCCGGCCAATGATCCCCTCCTCCCCGCTCTTCACTTGGGCTGGCTGATTTACTTCATATCCTAGTTGTTCTTTCCCCCTGGTTTTCAGGAATCGACATGTAAAATAAAACCCTTTCTTTTCTTCAACTGTGATGTCACAGAAGAACTTTGAGGCACAGGGCAGGTGCTCTTTGATTACTACAGTTTTATAGGTAGTCTTAGCTTCAGTGAGCAAGAGCGTGGTCGTATGTGAGAAAGATGAATGAATAAATGATGTTTGATTTCAGAGTCAGTGTCTAATTCTACCCTCTCATCAATGGCTGATTAGGCATAAAAGCACATGCATGACACGACACAGGATAATCCACCTACCTAAAATTCAGCGATCTCTTTCGAATGTATGCCGTTCTTCTGCTAGTAACCATGCTGCTGTGCTGGGTACTGAGTATTCAGGTCATGTAAAGTTCTATTAACGCCAGCCGCATCTCGCACTTCCTAATGGTATCAATCCCTTGTCGCCAAATCTTTTATCACACCCTACAATCTCACTTATGTCGCTACTAAATAAAATACATACATCCTGGTTGAAATGGTTCTGGATCTCACGCGGAGGCTGCCATGAGCCCCCTTTGAACCCTCAAGCATCGCCTGAAATCAAGCTTGCGACCTTCTCGAGGCATGTGCTCGCCACTCGCAATGCAAAGCACCCGCATCTTTGGGTCGTATCTGAGGCCCGCCAAAAGCTTTGGTGTGATGAGAAAGTACTGACTCGAGTGCTCACGGCATGCAATCTCAACCATGCGCTCGTGCACCATGCGCTCGTTGCGAGGGTCCATGCCCTGGTTGATCTCATCCACAACGCGGAATGGTGACTGTGCGAGGGATTGAAGAGCCATGAGAAAAAAGATGGTGGAAACAGCTCGTTCACCACCCGATTGACGATGCGCAGTCAATTGCTGCAAAGTTTCGTTTTCACTGGAGATAGTTAGCTAATGAACAGATGTAAATGGTGCCATGGAGGGTTGAGAATGTGCATACCGGAAACGGACCATAATGTCCAAAGCCCAGGCATCAAAATCATCTGGCTTGTGGACACGGACTTCGCCAGCACAACTGATCTGCTCAAAGTTGTACGCGAAGGCGTCGTTGATCTTGGAAACCAGTTCGTCCAGACGGGGCTCCCACTTGGATCTCAACTCATCAATTTCCTGGGTTATCCCATTGAGCTTGTCGGTCGATCCAGACATCTTCCGCGTCAGCCGAGTAATTTCCTCGGCACGTTTCTTGAATTCACGTAGCACGTTCGGATTTGGAACGTGCATACACTCGAGTTTCGCCTCCTCAGCCCCAATGTCGATTTGGATGTCTTCAGAAGTTTTCCCTTCACAGAGCTCGGAGAAGAGGTCGCGCTTTTCCGGTTCACTTTCGATCATCTGCTGCACGGCTTCAGAAAGGCGGTTGCCTTCTTCTCGGGCTCGACTGGCATCTTCACTGGCTTGTCGCAGTGTCTCTCTCTCGACGTCAAGCCGCTGCATAATATGAGAGTTCCGCGCCATGAGACCAACAACATCGGAATGGGCCTCGATACCACGGATTTCCGCTTCAAGGAGGGCCTGATAACCTTGCCGGATACTTTCGATGGCATCCTTGTGACGAAGAACTAGCTCAGCTCGGCGAATAACCGCTTCATCCCACTCATACTTAGTTTCGACCATCCGTTTTCGCGTGTCTCGCAGGGCTTGTTCATGGGCCGCCTTGGAGCGTTCCTCCGATTCTAAAGCCGAATTAGCAAATATGAAGACTGACATTAACGTGGCGTTGCTTACCGATCTTTTCGGGCAGAGACTGCCATTTTTGATATTCTTTTTGCAAAGTATTCTTCTCGATTTTGAGGCGTGTCTAGATCTGGTCAGCATCGAATACCCGCACTGACGAGCAGGGGACCAAAAAAGCAAATGTTACTCACAATGGTATCATGACTGTTGTTCTTTTGATCCTCAATTGTCTGAATCTTGGCTTGTAACTCGCGGTATTGCTCTTTGAAGATTTCTCTCTCGCCATTCAATTCAGCCAAGCGCTTGTTCAGCTCTTGCTTCTCCTGCCCGTCAACAGGTTGTGAGGTCCAGAATTTCCCCTGAGGAATACTCTTGGTGACAGCCGTCATCGCCTGAGGTCCGTACTCTTTACGTCTCCTGACTATGAACGACTGGTTACCAGCTGCCCAGGAATTAACTTTACCGCTCTGGACAAGACGATCATATTGAGCATCATTATGATCCCGCAAGGAAACACCAGATTGATGAAGTCTCTTCTCGGCACATAGCATTGCCAGAACGGGTTCCGGGCCCTCCAGAAAGTCAACAGCAAACCCATCAAGCCCTAAACCATTTGCCTCTTCCATGCTGACTGGACGCTGAAAAGCACCCAGTGGCTGTGCGCAGGATCGAATCACGACGGACAAGCTTTGAACACGATACAACTGATCCGAGAGCTTCTTGTAATCGTTCTTTGTTTGTGCTGTAAAACAAGTAAAATCGTCTCCCTGTAAGAGAGACTGGACTTGATCTGAATATCGGTCGTCTTTGATAGAGCAGCTGATCATGGGTGGGCCGAAAACCTCCTTTTCGAATTCCTTCTTATTGTCTTGTATCCAATCCCAGGCCGTGGCCAGATCGGGGAAATGTTTTCGCATGAAGTTGAGCTGCTGACCTTGTTGAGTCTCAAGCGATTGAATGCTCTCCTCAACTTGTCGGATGTCGTTGTTGAGTGATTTGCCCTTGATCTTGATATCATCACGTTGACCAGATACTTCGCGTTGCTCTCCTTCTAATTCTCTTAAGGCATGCTCTTCTCCTCGCTTCACGACTATTAGCACGTATCATCTGTTAGATGAAGAAATCCTTACAATCTTCTGGTTAAAGTCCGAAGGATTAAACTCTTCTGGACGACTTCTTAGTTCAGCCTGCAAGGACGTGATCTTCGATTTCGACTGAGCGAGCTCTTTTCTTTTAGCATCAAATCCCTTGCGCTCGGCTTCAATGCGATTCTCAAACTCTTTGAGCTTCTCTGATGCTGTGCTCGCGTCACGCGCTAGCTTTTTTGTGACATCCTCTGCGTTCTTTAGAGCAGCCCTTCTTCCCGAAATCGCTTCGTCGATGCGCTGGGCGTAAAGTTGTTTCGCATTCACCGCCTCCAAGGACGGGCCGGCGTCGCGTTCGAGACGTCCCAGAGACCTTTCTGCTAGCTTTTTCTGTTCCTTGGCGTCCTTAAATCTCGTGCGCGCCTCTTTGTATTTGGCGAAAACCAAGGCCGACTTGAGATTATTGACCTGCTCTATGATCTCCTCACGCTCTCGGAGTCTGTCTACGTCTGTCTGGAGTCCTTGCTGTCGGTTTTCCAAGTTTCTTAAAGTCTCCTCGTCAGCATGAGTAGACTGTTCTAGCTCTTTCTTGTCTTTGTCAAGGTCCTGGAGTTGCTTTTGCCAGGCTAACATTTCTTCGGGAGCGGCCGCACGTAGTGTCTCTCGTAGAAGATCCACAGGTGTGCAGGCAGCAAACTCAACAACTCTGTCTTGGGGAAGAAATTGACATAAGTTGTCCACTTGTATCTTGAATTTGCGCATCAACATCTGCACCGTTTTGTGGTTGGACTCTTTGCCATTCAACCACCACTTTTGATTGTTCTGTTCTCGCCGAATCTGTACCTTGATGACAAAGTTCTTGGGGTCTTTCGGTCGCTTCTGCAGTTCAATTTCTATTGTGGCAGTATCCTTTCCGTGCTTGACAAATTCTTTGACAGAACCAGCACGTCCAAGGTGCTTTGGGCTATAGCCTAAACCGAGACAGATGGCGCACACCAAAGAACTCTTTCCAGTGCCGTTTGGGCCAACGACCATGTTGAGATGTGGCCCTGGAAGAAATTCGGCCTTTTCGTAGGTGACGAAGTTCTCTACAGTGACTCGGACGATAGCGCCTGGTTGGTAGGCATTGTTCATGTCGTGCCCACTTGAAGTGCCGTTCGTTTCTCTCACGAGAAGTTGTCCACCGCCTGGGCTGGGATTCGTGCTTTTATCAAGTCTTTGTCGCTTCGGGGAGCCAGAATCGTGTCCGTATTCGTTGCCATTGTCGGAATCGTCGGTATCTGAACGCCGTCGGCGGCGAGACGATTCTGGAGCCATGCCTACAAAGGGCAGGCAGCACCTTTGAAGTGTATATCAGGCCGGATGAATGGAGTGCAGTTGTGTGTTCTGCAAGTCGAGCAAGATGTACGTACGTCAAGACGTTATGAGTATCAAAGAGGCATGGATGGTTGTTAGATGGAAATTGAACGCGCTTGAATCACGTCCATGCGCGCCTTGCAAATGGGGCACCAGTTTAAAGTGGTGGGGTAAAAGGGAATGCGTGCCTGTACCTGTACCTGCAGTCCCCAGACGGAAATAGTGGACCCTTTGAACCTCATTGCAGTCTCCGACTCCAACAATAAACTCTTGATTTGTACACGACGCATCAACTCGATTTCCTCATATGTTACTATCGTGCGCACTCGTACTCAGCTAGGTAGACAGCGGATACATATACAACCTACTGTATTTGCACTGTACAACAATAAGTGCGCTTCACTCCAGCAAGTCCTCAGTTTCTCTATCGTTCCTAGCTACCTTACTTACTTACCTTACCAGGCAGGTAGGTACCTTGGGTTTCCATAGCCTCCAGAGCTATTGCCGCTATTATATAAATTATCGCGATACTGATTCTCAAGCCGACATTCATTTGCTGCACGATGTTGATCAATAATGTGTACTAGGCAGCGTAGTCGTCCAATTAATTGAGACGGCATCTCATTGGGATCTAGTCTCCATCCCCTCCCGTCAGGGTGTCAGAAGAATTGGCCGCTGAGAGCATAAGAGACGAAATGTTTTGGTCACCTTATGCTGCCTTAGGTAGGCTGTGGTTTAGGCTACTTTATTTCTGTACCCCAAGCCTTAGAGGATAGGTACCTAGGTACCTAGGTAATTCTTCTGACACCCACCTCCACCTGCCTCCCTCGTCTTTACCACATCTGTCAAGTGCGTATCCGTAGCTTAGTCATTCTGAGTGCCAAGAGCCCCTTGAAGGAGAGTCAGACAACTTCATCCCTTAGAATTCCAGTTCCTGCCCTGTGACTTCATCACCCCGTCTCAAATTTCTTTTCAGGATCGCATATCTGATGTTTGCTGAATGGAGATGCAGACTTTCTCTTTGTTATGGTGACTCAAGAAAGAAACAATCACTGTCGATTTGGACATAAAGGCCCGTCCAGCTATCTCTATACTCGATCGATTTACCCACTCCTGGGTGACGCTACTCTCACGGTTTGGTTTCCAGAAGTCTGGAACGGAATGAGGTTTACTGTGAACGAACTTCGATCTCCTTTAATTTCCCTTTGGCTCTCTCGTCACCGAGGGTATGTGGTGTTAAATCTACTTCCCTGCGTCAATGCGGCTTCTTTGTGATGCGGTATAGTTACCTGCATCTTCGCATGACCAGGCATCAGCCATCAGCTCCCAAGCGGGCAGCATCACATTGAATTAGATATTTGTATGGGTTTCGACAAGTTTGTCCATTGCACCCTCCCTACTTTGAGAGTACCGTGGCAGCATCTATAAGGTCTTACTATTGGGAAATAGTCTTGAACCACATAGAGAAACTGGAATGCATCACGATGCCTCGATGCAAAAAAACCCCTCCATTTCAGCTTTGGCCAGCTTTGTTTTACCAGAATTCCCCACCATACCATACCTGAGTGTGAGGTTTGGTGTTGGCAGATTGGCGGGCAGGTGTGTGCAGGTGGCAGATGCCAGTCAAGTCCATGCCAGCCAAATACAACTATGGTATTCCAGCCTTTTCTCCCTTAGCATCACTGGCACCACCAACCAGCCTTGCTAGAACCTCTCTGACTGTAAAAATTGCATTCCATGGATGTTGATGTAACTTCCTTCCATCGCCCCAACTTGACTTTGCCTCTCGTTTCGTTCCTTTTTCTATCTTCTTTGGTGGCCTAGATCTCAGGTTCATTAGCCACGTTCTCTCACTCAGCGTCTCCGTCTCTCGTCTTCTCTTTTACAGCTGCTCTGCTGCTTTTCTGTCGGCCACATACATTGTACGGTTTGTTTGCTCGCTCGGCACTAATACTTTACCTACATATTTGCCTCTGCCTACCTGAAGCATCGTGACTCAAACAGCACCTATCATTCATCATCATCGCCAGCTTCATGTGCAAAGTCAATTTTGTCATCCTCAACTTTTGAAAGATCTACGTTTGGGTGCTGCGAGTATTATGTGTTGATTCACCACAGCAACGGCAATCGGTAATTACAATGGCGGATACCATGATTTCGACTGTCCGTTCACCGTTGTCTGAAGCTTCCGATCGGATCAACTCCAACTATCCCCCTCAAGAAGCTCGTCGGTACAAACCACGCCACGACCGCCCTCACGCGTCGACTGTCAACAATACACAACGCGCAAGCTATGGGCACCCTGCTGCATATTTTTCTGGTCGACCTCCTCATATACAAACCCAGACTACTAGCCCGATGCCTCAAGGTCAGCCTACTTTGAAACCACCAGATGAGATGGATGATGAACGTCGACACTCGGCTGCATCTTATGATTCCTCGGGTAGCGGCCGTAGCAAGAAGAATTACAAGACACACATCGGCCCCTGGCAGTTGGGCAAGACCCTCGGCAAAGGCTCATCTGCTCGCGTACGGCTATGTCGCCACAACATCACCAACCAGCTAGCTGCTGTCAAGATCGTCAATAGACGAATGGCGTATCTTGTACAGGATAGCAGCCTAGCCGCTCTCAGCAAATGGGATAATAATCTGCCCGACCAGATTGACGGCGAAATGCGCGTTCCCATGGCTATCGAGAGAGAAGTGGCTATTCTCAAACTCATTGAGCACCCCAACATCATGAAGATATATGATATTTGGGAAAATCGCTCAGAAGTGTAGGTGTTGTCAGTCCCGCCTCGTCCACAGTTCATACTAATAGCATAGTTACCTGATACTCGAATATATCGATCAAGGTGATCTGTTCACCTTTATCAATCTGAAGGGCCGCCTTAGTGAGGAAGTGTCCGTCTACTTTTTTCGACAGATCATCAGTGCCATCTCCTATTGTCATTCCTTCAACATTTGCCACCGCGACTTAAAGCCGGAGAACATCCTGATCAGTGCCAACCTTCAAATCAAAATTGCCGACTTTGGTATGGCCGCTCTCCACCAAACTGACACTCACCAGCTTGCCACAGCCTGTGGCAGTCCTCACTACGCAGCGCCCGAGCTCCTCAAGAATAGGCAATATCGAGGCGATAAGGCTGACATTTGGAGTATGGGGGTGATCCTTTTCGCCATGCTCACTGCGACCCTTCCCTTCGATGATCCAGATTTACGCGTGATGATGGCTAGGACGAAGAAGGGCCAGTACGAGATGCCAAGCTTCCTCAGCCCAGAAGCTGAGGATCTGATCAGGCGGATGCTGCAGGTCAATCCAGAAAGACGCATCACCCTTAAGGAGATATGGCGCCATCCTCTTGTTCGAAAGTATGCTTATCTCGACAATCTCAACGACCTCAACAGTCAGCCTCCTGATATACGCAAAGGGTTTCAATACACCCCTGTGCCTATCAAAGAGGTTGATGCTCAACTGGTTCGCCAGTTGCGATCTATGTGGCACATGTTTAGTGATAACGACTTGAAGCTCAAGCTCACCTGCGATGAGTAAGTCAACTATTTGTTTCTTCTCTACGCAAGTACTAATATTCATCAGACCCAATGACCAGAAGGCTTTCTATTGGTTGCTGTATCACTACCGGGAGCAACAACTGGAAAACTTCAAGCCCGAAATTTCTCACTCGACAAGTGACTATCACCATATGAAGCCTGGTACCTGGAAGAAACGTGTGTCAACTTGTGAATTCACGCAGCCGAATAGCAATGGTCATGGTCGTTCCATATCACGGTTCACCGTGATATCGAATGCTACTGAGCCGGACAGAGCTTCAAGTCGCGAACCTCTCCAAGACGACAGTATGTTGTGTTCTGGTGTTTCCCATATCCGTCAGTCAAGATCAAATATTGACCATCGTCCTTATCTAGACAACGGCTCTTATGTCGGGCATCCAAAGCCACTTCGAAGTGGCTCGAGCGCGCGACGTGGACGTGGGACTTCAACTAGAAACTCCACCACAGGACGGCTCCAATCGTCGAGGGGGTCATTATCGTCTATGCACAGCAGCCGGCAGGGCACACCACACGCACGCAACATGCGTCATAAACGTGGAGTCGACTTTACACACGTCCGGAAGAGGTCTACATCTACTAATGGGAACAGAGGTGGTTCTATGCCACCTTATGTTACGGAACAAGGATCGACCTACCAGCTCGAGATGACTCGATCACTTACTCCAGACACTCCAGATCTTCCGAGTAACGTGCTACCAAGACCGGCAGATAGGCGTGAGCCCCAAACCAACACACAGCGTGCTTCTGGCCAAGCATTGCGAATAGCATTGGGATCACGGTATGCTTCGGAAATCTTCAAGGAAGAACTGCGGCATTTCAGTAGCAACATTGCTAAGGACTGTGATGAAGCTTTCAAGAGTTCACTGATAGAAGAAGATTCTATTGCTGGCTCGCTTACTGAACCAGAAAGAACACAGTACGAATCAACACCCATCTCATTCACTATCGATACACCGGACGAATCGGCTCTAGATGGTCTCGATATGACAGCCAAGGCATTCAGTAACCGGCCTCTTCCGCCTTTACCCACCCCTGTGCAAGGCTGCGATGAGCATTCGCTAATGCTACCACTAACCCCTATCGGATCGCGACCAGCGACCGGTGATTCACACTTGGAGGAACTGCGTGCCGAGCAAGTCAAAGTGGCCCAGCCAGTCGTGCTCACTAGACATGTAGAGCGCCGAGTTGTCTCAGCTCCGGTTCAGGTTCAGAAGCCGAAACTGAACGCGGCTCTACCATCCATTAACGAAACAGGGGCTGTGGTTAATGACAAGGCTCGTATCGTGTCAGCTCCTCCTCATACGCCGACAAAGAGAGGGGTAGATAGACTGAGAGGTATTGACTACCTTAGCCAAGTCGAAAATAGCATTCGTGTGGTACACTCACCAGGCGATGAGAGTCCCGTCAAGATTCCCGAACCTCTAAATGTCCGAAAGAAGGTATCTGAAGCTCACCAAGGGAATACGATTCCCTTCGTTCAACTTTCAGGGCCAGATTCTACGTCTCAACATAGTGCAGATGGCGGCACGTCCGCAAACACGACGCTACTAGACCGTTCTTCGCATGACAGTTCTACGATGGTGAAGAAGAAGAAGACATCTTGGTTCAAACGTGCTTCCAAGGTTGAGTCCAGTTATGGCCCAGAATCTGTCGAGTGGCAAGATTGCAACTCTTATTCAACCTCTAGCGACGGGAAGCGAAGCGATTCTACATCGACAGATGCACACTCCAAAAAGAAAACATTTAGCTTCAGTTTTTGGAAGAGCAACAAGCAAAGGGACTCTATCATGTCAATCGCAAGTAAGTTTATTTCTTCCTACGATCGGACATGGGTTTAACTATGACAGAAGAGCCCGGCGAAAAGGACGATGAACCTTTTGTGGAGTTGAGTGCTGTTAGTAAGACAAGCACTTCAACGAAAATATCGCAGCCCAGATGGCATGAGTCGAATTCCGGGCCAGTACGAAATATTGAGGTCAAGCAGAACTGGCTTGCACGTCTGTTTAGAGTCAAGCCAGCGACAGACCATATTTGTATGACTATTTCTAGAAGACGCGCACGACAGGAGGTTACTATTCTCCTGCGGGAATGGCGCAAGTACGGCATTCGAGACATACAGGTAGACAAGCAAAGGAACATCATCTTCGCACGGGTTGCGGATAAGAACTGTACGTCAGACTATGTTAGAGACATTGCATTTCGCTAACCCGACCCTTTAGTTTTGAACCTCAAAGAAGTGTCCCTTGCAGCCGAGGTCATCACGGTTATCGAGCACGGCAAGAAGCAGCCACTCAGCATTATTCGATTTACTCAAGAGCGTGGGGCTGCTAGCAGCTTTCATCGGGTAGTCGACACCATGAGGATGATGTTCGAGACACAGGCCTTGATTGTTTCCGATAGAAACAAGCAAAAGATGATGATCAAGACGCTGAATTCTTGACGTCAAAGCCCGCAGTGTCATTCAAAGTTATGCTTGTCGAGACCAAGCTACACCGCGGGACGACTACTAACGTCTAGCTGTTGTCACGCGCTGGTTGGATCATCATATTCTTTGCAGAGCCATGTACAAGTTGTTTGTTGTCAGGAGTTTGGATGTGTGAACCATCGCTTTTCTTTTTCGTTCTTTTTGCTTTGAGGGACCGGGTTTGGAAGGCATGTTTTCCTAGCATTCGCATGGACCGGCGAATGTTATTGTTTGCAAAGGATAGGAGCTTGGGAGGGTTGACTATTGCGTCTTTCTTGATAGCTTCATCCCACTTGTCGCCCACAGCCCTTTGAAAAGCGGGCAGTTGTTTAATGACATAACGATTATATAAGATCAATAAGCTTCTATATCAAGTTGACGCCGAAGGCTACAACGGACAGCAGCTTTCGATTGAGACTGGAGAGCTTCTTCAATATTCCGCATTTATTCATGTTCACGACGGTTTATGTCAATTTTGTTGTACAGCGAGTTGCACCAATATACAAAGCAATGACATTCCCCGATCTTTGGTCCAAATCAGAATTCCAAGTTAACGCCTCTACAGTACCTAGGGATTATAATTATCTTCGTATGTATCTTGGCTGTAAACATTGACCTCCAAAACGCCAAATTCATTGGCAACCTGGTGGGTCACGATTGACTTCCTTTTTCTTTTCCTCTCTTTCAAATGGCACGTCAATGTCAACTTCAACTGCTCTAATCTTGGGCTCCGACTCTTAACAACATACGCATGCTACCGCCATAGCTCTATTCGACATGACGCAGGTCTTGAAGCTTGCCGTCAATCGTGATGATTGGAAGCCTGTATGTACGCCGAATGAAAGAAGCAACAACAGGACTGTTTGAATCACGAACCTGTAATCTCTATTAGTAACCATGGTTGGGAGAATCTCTTTTCTCTAGTATAGTTACATAACATCATCGAGTAATTTCGTTTGCGTGAATTGATATCCATCTTTGGGTACCTGGGCCAGACTCCTCAGCAGTCGGAGAACAGATCCGAAGCAGCAACACAAAAGCTGGGGTATTCGGATGATCGCTCCGAAGCTGAGTGGTACCCACTGTCCGTTGCCAGCCTCGGTTGCTTGATTAGTATGTAAGTATCTGGATATGGATCCATGTTTAGGTCCACGATAGAGATAAGCAAGCACAGGTATCTTGTTCAGCACTAACGTTATAGTCTCTATCTGTACGTATGGTAAAGTTTACTCGACCAGAATGCGTAATATAGATGTTTAGCACATGGTGGATGATAAAGATGTGAGGTGCATTTATTAACTAGTACTGGTAGTGGGCAAGGGTTAGTAGCAGTTCGGAGGATGAGACCGACAGTGTCTTAAAAGGCTTGGAATGTAGCCGAGGTCCATGAGGATTTTGATTTGAGAATTTGGGATGTTCTAAGGACGATACAAAGCGAATCGCGGCTTCTCGGTCTTTGTCCGAGTCTGGGGTTTTGAGGCAGGTGAAGGTGAAGCTGTTCATTCCCTTCAAAGAAAATGGGCATGGCTAACAGGTATGGGCGATGCAGCCATTGTCAAAGATGGGGAAGCTCTGCCAATCGCGGGTACATGAGCCCAGCTAAAGGCATACATAGTCGTTCCCGTGTCCACGGCTAAATTTGGTGGATGCGTGTCCGTCCGCAAGTACCTTTTTTTAGCGATCTAAGTACCCCTGCCCCGGACCGTCACGGCAGTTGGCCACCTTCTCTCCTTCTCCACATGCTGCTCACCTTGAATCGTTTAGTGTCAGATCTTGTCTCCTTTCGTGACGATTCAAGCCCATGAGCTTCACTCCTTCCACCCGAGCCAGGCCGATGGCAACCTAATACCGAGCATGACGGACGATGGCCGTTTGATCGGGTCACTGAAATGAGAGATGCACGGCACGGGTATGGAACTTCCATCGGTCTGCTAGCAATCCTTTGAATAACCTCTACAGAGTCCTTCGGGTAAGGTCATACATGATGCTCTCTACTCTGCCAAAGTCTCATTGACCCAAAGTTTGGTCTATCGGACTTCAATATACGAGATTATCTCGGCATTACGTAGGCGAAGTTATGGGGTGTTGCACTCTGATACTGCAGGGATGACTTTATCTTCCCCAGGTCCGGCGGCACCAGTGACGCTGAGATGCTGAGACGCCCCTCGGCCGTCGTCCGAGGCCCATTAACACCTTCGGGAACTCGATATGCGGAGCACAGCTACTGTGTACTTCAATTTGGACGTCGACCCAGGCTATATAACAGCCTGTGTCGCAAGTCGCATATTCATATTTTGTCCATCATAACGCTGATTGTCTATTCTTGCTTTTAGCCAAATCTCAAACACACCATCGAATTCTACCCATCGATCAGCTACAATTCTATACGGCAGTTGCCAGAGCCTTTTTTACACGTGCCGTTCGTTATTGGTATCTCATTGCCGGAATCACCGTCACTCTTCACATCATCGACACGTGAAAGTCCCGGCCACACTACCTATACATAAAACATTTATCTTGTTCTATCTCCTTCCGTCAAATCAGCACACCTATACCTCTTCCAAGGATCAGCCACAACCACAACCACAATGGCATCTCTCGATTCTGTCCTCCAAGGCGTTTCTGTCTCCGGCAAGGTTGACGATGTCCATCGCAAGATTCTCACTCCTGAGGCTCTAGGTTTCCTTGCTCTTCTGCACCGCTCCTTCAATGAACGACGTAAGAGCCTACTTGAACGCCGCAAGACTCGTCAGGCCGAGCTCGACAGAGGCGTCCTGCCCGATTTCCTTCCCGAAACTAAGCACATTCGCGAGAACCCTACTTGGAAGGGCGCTGCTCCGGCCCCCGGTCTAGTGGATCGTCGTGTTGAAATCACTGGTCCCACTGACCGGAAGATGGTCGTCAACGCGCTGAATGCCAACGTCTACACTTACATGGCCGATTTTGAGGGTAAGTCTCTGCTGAACCCACATGTCCTAACCATTGCGATCTCTGAAGTCCTCTGGCTGCACGGCATAGGAAAGGAAAAACGGTTCGCTAACTTTATCGGCAGATTCAAGCGCCCCTACTTGGGACAGCATGATCAATGGACAAGTCAATCTCTACGACGCCAATCGTCGTCAGGTTGACTTCAAGCAGGGCCCCAAGGAGTACAAGCTTCGCACCGATCGCAAGTTGCCCACCTTGATCGTTCGTCCTCGTGGTTGGCACCTCGAGGAGAAGCATGTTACAGTTGATGGTGAACCAATCTCTGGTTCCCTCTTCGATTTCGGTCTCTACTTCTTTCACAATGCTTTCGAGACACAGCGTCAGGGCTTTGGTCCTTACTTCTACCTCCCCAAGCTAGAAAGTCACCTCGAGGCTCGTCTCTGGAACGATGCCTTCAACCTTGCTCAGGACTATATCGGTATGCCGCGTGGTACAATCCGAGGCACAGTCCTTATTGAGACCATCCTTGCCGCTTTCGAGATGGATGAGATCATCTACGAGCTCCGTGACCACAGCTCTGGCCTTAACTGCGGTCGATGGGACTACATCTTCAGTGTTATCAAGAAGTTCCGCAACAACCCCAACTTTGTCCTTCCTGACCGTTCTGCCGTCACGATGACTGTGCCCTTTATGGAGTCATATGTGAAGCTCCTCATCCAAACCTGCCACAAGCGAGGAGTTCACGCTATGGGTGGCATGGCTGCTCAGATCCCCATCAAGAACGACGACGCTGCCAACGACAAGGCGATGGAGGGTGTGCGTGCTGATAAGCTCCGTGAAGTTCGTGCTGGACACGACGGTACCTGGGTCGCTCATCCTGCCCTTGCTAGCATCGCTACCGAGATCTTTGATAAGCACATGCCCACTCCCAATCAGCTTTTTGTACGCAGAGATGATGTTACGATCGGACAAAACGATTTGCTCAACATGAACGTCCCTGGCACCATCACAGAAGATGGTATCAAGAAGAACCTTAACATCGGTCTCGGCTATATGGAGGCCTGGATCCGAGGAGTGGGCTGTGTCCCTATCAACTACCTTATGGAGGACGCTGCCACAGCTGAGGTCTCGCGCAGTCAGCTCTGGCAATGGGTCAAGCATGGTGTTAGCACCGCCGATGGCAAGCGTGTTGACAAGGCATATGCTCTGAAGCTTCTCAAGGAAGCTGCCGATCAACTTGCTGCCTCTGCTCCCAAGGGTAACAAGTACCATCTCGCTGCTCAGTACTTTGCTGGTCAGGTCACTGGCGAGGATTATGCCGACTTCCTTACAACGTAAGTGCAGCCCATTACGACGATTTTCGAGAACATTCGAGAACAATTGCTAACTAGGATACAGACTTCTATACAATGAGATCACTCAGGCCGGACCTCCCAGCCCTGCTTCAAAACTATAAGCCAAGTCTGAAGAATGACAAGTATAAAATGGATATAAGAAGTTGGTATAAGCGTTTCATGATTTTGTCTTGTATAATCAAGTGTTAAGTTACTGGTAACGGCTTTAATGATATCACAAGCTGCTTTTATTACTGTATCTGGCATGTTGTCTCTCAAAAGTGCGAAGCTCGTTTATCAATCCCCGCGACTCTACAGTCAGACCAAATCTATTAGCGGTCATAGTGTAGCTTGTAGTGAATCGCACACGGGACGAGGAAGTAATGTCATGATCTGCCATGCGGAGTATTGTTGACCTAGCGACATAGTTCCAGCAGCTGAAGAAGAGTCACAGGCAAAATGGCCCTTCCACAAAGTTGCACCCAATGTATATCATCTCAACCAGTTCCGAAAACTCAGGAGTGAACTTAGGTCATATCAAGGAAGAAGCGCTCCATCCCAGTTAGTTACCCTAGAGTATTATTACCTTTCATCTGGGAGACGCTGCACCTGGAAAGAGTTCGAAATAGAATTTTCGACTCGGTCTTTTGTATTAAAAGTTGCAAAACGGGAGTGGAATTGCCTAGAAGGTCAACTCAAGTTGAAAATCCCTTCAATCGTTTGGCTTCCAATAACCATCCAGTTGCGGCGGATCGTTCCATCAACCTAGCAAGCTTTTGTGACAATGCGATATCCCAGAAATGATAACAAAGGTTTATTTATACGAAGAACATATCGATCACATGTTGCTTTGAGTAGCTTCTGAAGTAAATCAGTAGGCAGCTCGTCTTTTCCAATGCTCGTGCCAGCCTTCAAAGTTCGAACAAGAGAACTGGGAAGCCACAAAACCCTAGATAGATCGATCAAATGCCAAACCCGTTACTTTAACACGTAACAGATACTTAACCTGATTCTTTTGTTTACCATGCACATAGTCTTGTCCATATGTAAGTTCTCCAACACTGTTCTGGTTGACAGACTACAGTCCCGGTCATCATAGCTACATGGACTAGGTAGAGAGAGACATTGAACCTGAAGGGATCACAGAGAAGATGGAGCCTCCATTAACAGCGACTAATGCGAATCATGGCGAAGGAAATAGCACTGCTGCAGGTAATGAAGTCCCCCCATAGAGCATCTAAACCTTGAGATGAGACGACCAGACAAACAACAATATCAACAAGCTTAGAAGTCGAGAGTGACCAGATTGAACTACCAACTGTGGTTCTGCCAGCACCTTCAAGTCTCAGCGGATTTCCTGTGCCATTGGGGTTATCGTTCAAGACCAAATGCGTCGCACATAGTTTTCAGTGTGGTAGTGCATAAGGCTCTTGCACCATAGCCAAGCATTTCGCAGTTACTTGGAACCAAGCATGGTCATGTCGCAAACGACGACATCAGACAGCTCGCAGGACGGGCACAGGACCAAGTACTGGTACTAAGGGAGGCAACCTGAAGACAACTGGTTATAAGATAGCTTATTGCCTGCGAAAGAATCCCCCCGTCTGTTGAGTGAATCACCTTGGCTATAATAAGAGATGAGGATGAACATCAACATGGGTAGACTGTCCGGATTGTCAGCAAATCTTCCATCAAGATTGCTCAAGCTTAAAGGGCTTACCCAGCGCAGATCATAGCAAGGATATATCCATGAGCGATAATTATCAAGAGCCCCGGGTGCTGCTTGTTGATCATGTTCCATAAATACATGCCTACTTCATCATCAGGATCTACAGTACGTTATGCCTGCAGGGTCAAGCGAACGGATTCATCCCCATGTTGCCAGGTCCACATGTTGATCAATGCATTTCTTTTCGTTTCTTTTTTTAAATGGAGGTAACTGAAGCCGCTTTTCGTCCCATGGTACACAGCCTGATCCGGTGTCTCTTACAGCCTCCTACCAACGACTTGGGAAGCAGCAATATCGTATCACGATGCTAGTGAGCTTATCTCCGTCCGCGTCTTAGATGCCGGGTTCAAGAACTAACGTGGTATACTTGAACCCGCTGGTTGTGGGATAATAAGACTGAGGTCGGAAGTGGTGCATGTTACCCTCAGCAATTATAGCCAAGAGCGGCCAAAGATGCCAGTGATTTATATTATGTACTCGAGTACATAGCAACTTGTTACGACCGGGCTGGTGCAGATTTTTGTTATGAGGTCTGGAGCTGCCGCTGCTCTGGCCATTCCCTATACATTTCTAGCAATGCCAATTTGCAGCCACCGCCCATCTATTGGGACTGAAGCTGTGAACTTGGGGCTTATGGATAAGGTGATGCAGCTAAAAGTAGCTTTTCTGCACTGCAGGTTCCACAGCAGCATGCATTTGTGTCTTTTCATCACAAGTACTGTACTCACGAATTCAACGCCCTTGCCGGAGCTTAGGTATTATACCTACCCCTGACATTGAACAGTCCATCGCATCTCTACTCAATTCCTTATTGCAGTGGAAGTCCTTGTCTGAATCAGTCAGCATGCTGCAGAATGTCCAGTTGTGGAAAACCCCAAGGATCAACGGTCATCAGTGAATAAGCTACCGCAACAGACCAAACAAAACGTTGCAGAGGGCGCATGCATTAGAGGACCTGGCCATGGCATCGTATACGCTGTCGCAGGGCGTGGCTCGCTCGAGTCCATGCTGGGGATTGTGTACCCTCACCGGTCATGAAAAAAAAAAAGAAAGTCCGCAAATATCCAATGTCTTTGCAGGGAGTCGAGTCGACATGACCAATCATGGGCGGCCGCCCCCTGGTGACGGGGTGTAGATAAGATTCATGGATGTTCTGTTCAGCTGGAGTCTCTCATCCTCATCACATTGGATGTCTTGCAACACTCTGGAACTCCATCAAGATGCCGTGTTTGCCTAGACGTACAGTAGACGAATTCATACGGAAAAGGTCTGAGGTCATCGGGGGCTTCGACACATGTCAAAAACTCCAACGTCTTGATAAATCGACCAAAGTCAGCTAGCCTACAGATACAGATACAGATACAGATACAGATAGCCTGAGAAAAACTTGGAGACGAAACGCCACCAGAAACGATCGACGCAGGGATCTTTTGTGCAGATCTGTGCCATTTGCGGCTGCTTGAGGTTGGAAGAGAGTATAGTAGTCTAGAGACTGCTGGTACCTGCAAATAAAACGAAGGATCCTATCCATAGAGCCATTGGGGGGATCCTGTATCATTGGAATCGAGAACTTGACCCTCGAGAACGTGTCAGGCTATCCCCGTTGGTGAGCGGAGATTAGAGATTACTACAGATGCAGGTAAATAAAATACATTAGTGAGTGACCTAGGTATACAGTGATTGTCAGGGACTAGCGCTGTTTCGCTGAGCCGCTCTTCTTTCCAGGCCATGGCATGGCAATTGCTGATGAATATCTTTTTCTTTTCTCTCCATGAACAATCAGACACGCACACACTACCCAGGTTCTAAACAAGTCAATACCTCAACAGATTATCGCTGTGCTGTGCCTGATCTAAACCCCTGATGGTGCAACAGTCGCACCACATACATATAGGTAGAGCATGGATAGCCGGCTCAGCTATTCTCAGCACAAATACCATGTTTTCACCTTGCCTTGCGGTTGATGTTGATGATATTGTCACATATCAGATTACCATTTCTTCGTATCCATTTCTGTCGTGCAAGTTCGCTTGCAGCCATGAACAGGTACCGAAATGGGTTGTCTCGGAACGGTAACTGGGTATCTGTACCTACCATTCGATTCGACTCGCGTATCCCCAGCCAAAGGCGTGGGTCAAGTTGTGAATAAGCTCTTTACCATTCATTATTGTGATACGTAAAACGTCGGCGATTTTGATATCTTGCCATGATGGAAATCTGGATTCATCACGTCCCGCACCACCGGGATGGGCGAGGAATTCAATCTTGGGTAGACTGCCTAGACTAGGTAGACTAGGTAGACTAGAGACTAGACGGATGGGATGGGATTGGGATGGTGGTCGACTGGTCTGGATCTTCAACTGCCCCGCCTTATGGCACGATTCCCGCTTCGTCAGTGCTCGGGCTAGACTCCATGTCAGTCAACACACAACCAACACTGGCGTGACGTTTATGCTAGAGTCTACTGTACAGTAGAGGTATCGGTAGCCTTATCGTCCAACTGTGGGCCACCAGGTCCGTCCGGCGGTAGACGCCATTGACCTGCGGCACACCAACTTGATTTGGCACACGGATGGCTTGCGGTTAGGTGATTTAGTTTATCGGGTGCCCCTGGCTTTGGAGGAGAGGATCTGTTCCCTGGCACATGGCACCAGGTTTCGCATCGCATCGCATCGACCTGACATTTTGCCACAAAAGAATGTATGCATTGCCGAGCAGACGCAAAGGCGATCATCTGTAGTTTACAGTACATATTAACTCGTGAGCTAGTCTAAAGGGCTCTGGGAATCTGTCAGTTCGGCAATGGTATGCTACAGTACAGTACTCAATTGGATAGAGTTATGCTGACGGTGAAACTACTACTATGGATGCTATGCTATGGATGCTATACTATGTAGTTGGCCATCGGAAACATTGATTGATCAACTCAACTTGTCATACCAACTGCCCGAGCATTTGGTCAAGACTGCATTATCCTTTCGGCAACCTGGGCGAATATGTTCTGTTAGCGTATCCATCCTTCCATGTTAACGAACAGAACAGGCTGAACAGCTCTGACTGAGGACTGAGAAGTAAGGTACAGTACTGGACTGGACTGGAGCGACGCTATCGAATCTTTTTCGGCTTTACGATGTCACGGATGAACCAATGCCATCTACAGTCAGTCTAATGGTGCCATCATCCATCATCCCCACACACCCCAGAAAGGGGCTCTTGGCTTTTGGTTGCGGCGGTAGAATTCCGCAGCCTACCTACAGTAGTAGATACCTAACCATACAGCACCTAATGTATTCGTACCGTCATCCGCCCATTAATGATCCACTCACTACAAATTACAGTACCAACGGTCGTCTCTCAGAATCAGCTCCAGCTCTCAACCAAGATACAGTAACG